AAAGAATTATCTGGCCCAAAGACGTCTAGTGCTGGAGCTGAGAAATGCTGAGCTGAATAAATTCCAAGCGACTCTCAGTGACTTCTACCCGGCAGGGCCCTGAGCTGGTGGTGCGGGGTAGCAAGCCCCCTTCGCCCACCCGAGCCCACCTCTTCCCCCTGTGAGCAGTAGTCTCAGGCTGCAGTCTCATGTATTGGTTGAGCTGAGTATTGAATTCTAAGCAAGTCAGGGAACCAAATCCAAAATTGTCAAGTCATTCTTAATAGGCACTTTTAAAAATGCGTGACTTAGGCCAATGTCCACAATTCCTATAACAGGTGGTTTATCTTTCCAAACCCGGTGTTTGCCTTTATGACTGGTTATCTTGCAGATTAACAGACGTGTGGAACATTTGGACAGCACTGTTTCTGTGGCTGAGTAATTATCCACAGAGTGGCTAAATGCAAGAACGGGTCAAGGTTTAGAAAATAGTATTAAACACAAGTATCTAAAAAACTGGAAACCTGGTTGGTTAATAATTTAGATAATTCAAGGAGAATGAAGTTAAGTGGGTTATTTTATACGGAGTGTAATTCACATACCGTGCAATTAATTTAAAGTTCACTCAATGGTTTTTTATATATTCACAGAGCTGTGCGACCATCACCACAATCATTTTTAGAACATTTCAGTCACCCCCTTCAACACACACACGCACACACACACATGCATGCACACACACGCACGCACACCATCAGTGAACACTTCTCCTCAGCCTTTGGCAACCTCTAATCTTTCTCCACGGATTTGCCTGTTCTGATCATTTCATACACATGGGATCATAGAATAAAGTGACCAACTTTTTTCACTTAGTGGAATGTTTTCAAGGGTCATCCATGCTGCAGCATTACTTTTTAATTGCTGAATGATATTTCATGCCATGGATCCACCACACTTTATGTCCCTACTCATCAGCTGACAAACATCTGAGTTATTGCCAGTGTCCCCGGTGGCAGCTTTGATTTGGGTCCTTGCCTCTCACAGATAGGCCCCCAGTAGGGCTCCCGGGGTCCAGCCTGGCCCCTCTCAGTCACTCCCCACTTCTTTGCAGAGGAACAGTTCAGGAACACACAGCCAAACAGACCACACCATCCTCGGCGGCTGTCCTAGTCTGTAGGAGAAAGCTCAAGCCCCCAGTTTGGCACACGAGGCCCGTGGATTTGAGACCCCCTCAAAAAAGATATGTTGAAGTCCGAAGATTCAGCACCTTGGAGTGTGACCTTCTTTGGAAACAATCTTTGAGGAGGTCAACAAGTTAACATGAGGTCATTAGGGTGGCCCCTGATCCATATGACTGGTGTCCTTATAAAAAGGGGAATTTGGGTACAGAGACAAAAACATACAGAGGAAGACAACGCGAAGACACAGGGAGGAGATGGACACGTGTAAGCCAAGCTCGGCCAAGGACGCAAAGCCCAGGCACTGGAGAGGCGAAGAAAGACCCCCCAGAGCCTTCAGAGGGAGCGTGGCCCTGCCGCCACCCTGATTTGGGCTCCGCCCTCCAGTGTGTGAGACAGGAGGACAAGGCATTTCCCTTGTTCTCGGGCCCCCAGCTCGGGCACTATGTTCCAGGAAGTCGGCTCGCTCGCCAGCTCCGTGCGTTTCCCGAGTCATGTAGTCCTCTACCTGCTCGGAATGTGTCCTGCCATGCCCGTGCCTCTGTGCGGGGAGCGTCTGAGCACTGGAGAATGAGTTCTAGGGGCGGGATGTGGCGCCGGCTGCGGCTGCCCGTCCTGCAAGGAGCCATCAGAGCGGGTGTTGGGAAAGGCAGCCTCACCCTTCGGTCTTCTGACGCCACTCGCCTCATGAGGGTGGGCCCTGGGCTTGGAAGTCTTGCTCACCAAGAGCCCGTGCCGCCTTATCACTGCGTGTGGGAATGTCTTTCTGTTTCAGGCTCAGAGAATGCTCCCGTGTCTGTGTTTGGAGCGTGTGGGTCACATGGCGCATGGCCAACCCCACTGTGATATCTGTCCTCCAAGGGGAGGGGACAGGGTCTTTCTTTTGCTGCACCGTAGGGGTTTATGTGGGTGAACCACTCTGTATCCGCTGTTGTAGGGACCTGTTGGCCGTGGAGGGTCACTGTGGAAACTGTTCTCACTCTGTCTCTTCCCCATGTAAGCAAAGCGATTACGTCCAGTGAGCGACTACATTGTGTTCTTGCAACTCCCATAACAAGACGCAATGGGCAGAGGGGTTGGGTCTTCTGTCCCTGGTGGCTGGCACAGTGATGGTCCTCACTGCCCTCCAGGGAGTTGTGTCTTCTCCTGGGGTTGGTAACTGGTGCCCTGTAATCGGCTCTGACAGTTTGGAGATGCGAGCAGGGTTGCCGAGGAAACACACCATGCCGTGGAAGACACACGTGGGCTTCTCACCACGGCCTCAGAGCGTGCGCGTTCCCTGGGGTGACGGGCTGACTGAGGTGCTGGCCACCTGGCCCATGGAGACACTGAGTTGCAGATAATCTCCCCGTTCACAGGGAGGAGCTGGGCAGTGGGTGAGGGCGGACATCCATGAGGTGGGTGTTCAGAGGGGCAGGGAAACTCCACCGGGGTCTTTGGCCACTGTCCGCTCTCATGTCATCTGCTGTCCCTTCCTCCCCCTCGGTTTCTGCTGGTTTTGTTTTCTTTCTAGTGCCTTCAGACAGCCTTAAAACATTTGTGTTGGTAAGAAGTTTTCATCATAACCTGTGAAAGCATTGGTCTGATAGGAACTACTCCTGTATTAGCAGAAGACAACAATGCTTCTAGGCGAATTAAAACATTTCTTTTGTCCTGTTAAAAATCCTAGCGAGATTTTGTTTGGCCTTGCATGAAACCCATAGCTTAACCTGCGGCAAAATCAAGAACATTACAATGTCAGAATATTCCCATGTGCCTCTTCGTTCATTCTATCTAGATTTATTTATAGCTCCAATTGGAGCAGAGAAAACACCACCATTACCAGTCCCCTAGGGACACCCATCTTCTTACTTGGTTTATTAGGTCTTGTCAGGTTGGGTTGTCACCACAAGGCAGACGCTCACAGTGATGAACACTGGAAAGGTGGCCCCGGCACACACACCCTCTGACAGGTGTGCGGTGCAGTTCCAGCTGTCCAAGGGACAGGGACGACCGCGTTGTGAAGAGGATGAAGGTGATCCAGCTCCGGCGACTTGCTGCTTCTGCCTTTGATACGGTGGTGGCAAGAATCCTTCATGCAGCTTCTCTTGTTAAGGAGAGTAACAGCAGCTGCAGAACCAACAACTGACTTGAAGTTGCACCTTCCCCGCTATGGGCTCCATTCGCTCTTGTGCTTTTAATGTAAGACGCAGCAGCCTCAAGCCTACATGCTCAGGAGATCTTGTGTGGCTTTTTGTAGGCGTGAGCAGAGGGCAGAAATGACAGGACTTGTCCTGTGGGTAGAGGAGGGGAAACGCAGTTACGTCTTAGAAAGAGAATCTGAAAGAGAGCTGAGAAATTGCTGTTGGAGAGGTAGGAAGCGAACCAGGGCGACAGGACAAGGGGGTGGCAGCTGAGCACATATAAAGTCTCTTTCTGGAGCAGGGCTAGCCTCACGGACATGTGACCCATGAGCCTTCCCGGGGCTCCACTCTCAGAAGGAACCCACAAATTACGTAGCCCATCCCGTTCTGGAAGCATCTGTCCTTAGGAGGACTCAGGACTCTATGACCTTGGAGAAAAGTCTGAACATGAGTCACAGGATGTATTAAAGGCCCAGATATAGGTACACCCTAGGCCTAAACAGAGTAGCAGAAGACTGAAACCTTCAGCATCCAAGAGAAGAGAAATCCAGACAGATTCTGGTCCGAGGCCAGGTGACGTGTGTGTGTGTGGGTGCTTTCTGACCTCACTGCGTCATTTCCCACTTATGCTCCAAATAACAGCAACTCTTATTCCGTGACGTCGGTGTAGAAATCTCAACAAAGCTTGTGTTGTTTTCATCAAGGCCTGAGTTCAGGGTTTCTCCAGATATTTCCATGTTTGCCAGCTGCTCCAAGTAGACTCTTCCCTGAACACCCCCAGAGGTGTCCTGTGGAAGAGGAACAGAATCAGACAGCTCGGGCACCCTTCCCTGTTAGAGAAAGCTGTCTTAGCAGTGCTATATGTTTTCTGGATGTGCTCTATGTTGGAACGTTTTCAGAGTTGTCAAATAAGGTCACATCCAGAAGAGAGGTTTTGACTGGGGACTAGGCATTGGTGACCCCTTGGAGCTCAGTCCCAGCTCTGTACACAGCTGACAGAGGAGTGGGTGGGATGAGATGAGATGGGCATCTGCAGCCTTGTTCTGGGAATGGAAAAAAACAAAATTGTGAGCTAGAAAGTTCTCCAGAGAGAGCAGCAGACTCAGATGAGTTCCTCCAAAATCAGGGGGATCGATCTCTCCCTAAGAAAAGCAGAAGGGTGAAAGGCTAATGGCAAAGGATGAGTTTCATTCTGTAATGATTAACATAAGTAGGGCACCCTGCCCTCCAGTGATGGGTCATTCTGTTAATTGGCTTGATGATACGATAAGACAAAGCAAACAAGTGGATGAGACAAAGTCTGATCTGAAAAGTCAGCTGCTTTTCTTTTTTTTCTTTTCTTTTTTTTTTTTTTATCCTCACCCGAGGATATTTTTCCATTTTTTGTACAGATAGAGTGGGAGGGAGAGAGAGGAAGGGAGAGAGAGAGAGAAACATCGACGTGAAGGGACACATCGAGTGGCTGCCACCCGCACGACCAACCAGGGCCGGGGACAAACTGCAACCGAAGTATGTGCCCTTAGCGGGAACCGAACCCGGGTCTCTCCAGACCGCAGGCCGACGCTCTAACCGCTGAGCCAAACTGGCCAGGGCAAGTCAGCTGCTTTTCTGCTACTGAGATCACAGCAGGACTCCAGCTTCCCCACCGGCGCTCACGGGGCTCTTGCTCGTCCTGTGTGTCGGACCCTGGGCCGAAGGTGGGAGGGTGCTGGTGGTGCCCATGGAGGGCAGACACTGGCTCAGCATGAGGGAGGTCCTTTCACCAGAGGTGACTGTGCATGTCAAGGGGGAGGACTTTTTCACCCTAAAAACCCATCCCGTCCCATTCACTCAGGATGAATTTCAGCAACTCATGCTGACCCATACTGAACTGGTTGGAGCACATTTTCTGAAAACGTTTTTAAAATCTATGGTGATTTTGAAAAATATGTCTTTGATCTTGCAAAAGTCTTGCGAGGAGCTGGTGCATAACAAGGACCTGATGAGGCATCTGAACGCCAGTGCCTTCCATGTGGTTTTAACAGATCCCGTCTACCCCTGCGGAGCAAAGCTGGCTCAGTACCTGTCGCTTCCTGCGGTGTTTTTGCGTGCCTTTCCGTGTTTCTTAGAGTTTGAGAGCACACAGTGCCCAAACTCTTCCTCATGCATTCCTAGGTTATTAACAAGGAATTCAGACCACATGACATTCCTGCAGAGGGTCAAGAACATGCTCTACCCTCTGACTCTGATGTACAGTGGGCACATTTCTTTGTCTCCTTATGCAAGGCTGGCTTCTGAGATTCTGCAGAGAGAGGCGTCATTGGTGGATCTTTTTAGCTACGCATCTGTGTGGCTGTTCAGAGGAGACTTTGTGCTGGACGACCCCAGGCCGATCATGCCCAACATGATCTTCATTGGAGGCATACACTGTGCCAACAGAAAGCCGTTATCTTAGGGCTGTATTAGTGCTGATATCCAATCAGTGTGCCAGGCAGAATGCACTTTATTCTTTGAACTAATTCCAAGTGCTTTCTTATCTACCACCTTTTGGTCGACGGTGGCCTCTCATTTCCTGCTAATGGTCTTTGGTGAGAGATGCTGCTCCAGTGCCTCCAGTTGTGTTGTTAAGATTTGCACTGGCGCCCTGGCCAGTTTGGCTCAGCGGTTAGAGCGTTGGCCTGCGGTCCGGAGAGACCCGGGTTCGGTTCCCGCTAAGGGCACGTACTTCGGTTGCAGTTTGTCCCCGACCCTGGTTGGTCGTGTGGGTGGCAGCCACTCGATGTGTCCCTTCACGTCGATGTTTCTCTCTCTCTCCCTTCCTCTCTCTCCCTCCCACTCTATCTGTACAAAAAAAAAATGGAAAAATATCCTCGGGTGAGGATAAGAAAAAAAAAAAAAGATTTGCACTCGTTGTTGGAAGGATGGAGAGGGAGGGGTGAGGTTCGGTAACAGGATTTATGAACAAGGGTGTTATTCAGCCCGGAGTGTCCTTTTGTAAAGGTACCATCTTCATGGTTGTGCAATTCTCCTCAGCTTTGTGGGAGCATAGAAATTGGGCTGTGAACTGACCCATCAGGGGGTTTTTCCTTGTGGGTGTTCAGTGGAAGGATAAAGAAACTAGCAATAGAATTTATTGGTATGATCATTTATAGTAGTCCTGTCTCAGAAGGGCCCGAGGAGAGAGATAATGCAAGCCACGTGTCATTGGAAATTTTTAGTAGGCATGTTTTTAAAAAGCAAAAAAGGTGTTAGTTTTTAATATACTTTATTCAACCAAATATAAACAAAACATTATTATTTCAATATATTCTCAATATAAAATTATTAATGAGCTATTTTACATTATTTTTCTGTCCAACACTAAGTTTTCAAAATGTGGTATGTATTTTATACTTATATTTCAGTTTGGACTAGCCACATTTCAAATACTCAACAGTCATGTATTACCAATGGCTACTCTGTCAGACAGCATCTGATCAACATTTATAAATATTCCATAGATACACCTAAAATGTGTGTGTGTGTGTGTGTGTGTGTGTGTGTGTGTATTTTTTATCCTCACTCAAGGACTTTTTTTTGCATTCTTAAAAAATCTTCAGATAGAGTGGGAGGGAGAAAGGAAGGGAGAGAGAGAGAGAGAGAAACATTGATGTGAGAGAGACCCATTGAATGGCTGCCATCCGCACGACCCCAACTGGGGCCGGAGACAAACTGCAACGAAGGTATGTGCCCTTAGCGGGAACTGAACCTGGGACTCTCTGGTCCGCAGGCCAACGCTCTAACCACTGAACCAACTGGACAGAGCTAAAATGTATATTTTTAATTTTTCTATTAAAAACCCAACAGCCTGGCTGGTGTGGCTCAGTAGATTGAGCACACCCTGGTTTGTGGGCTCGATCCCCAGTAGGGGGCGTGCAGGAGGCAGCTGATTGATACTTCTCTCTCACTTTGATGTTTCTCTCTCTCTCTCTCCCTTCCTCCCACTCTATCCGAACAAACCATCGAAAAATGTCCTCAGGTGAGGATAAAAAAAAAAAAAAATATATATATATATATATATATATATATATAAAAGAAAAACAAAACAAAACAAAAAAGAACTCAACATGCCCAATTCCAAAAAAAGATGTCTTAAACTATTCCCCATTTAACTAAATCTTTCTCAGTTTCTATTTGGAATTTTAATAGTTTTGCTTATTCACATAGTTGCAAGATTGGTGCACATAGTTTTATTTTTGTTGTATTTTCTTCATAGTTTGCCTTTAAAAAATTTTAAATCGTGGTAAAATACACCCAACATATAAGATTTACCATCTTAACCATTTTAAAGTATACAGTTTAGTAATGTTAAATACTTCACATAGTTATGCAACTAATCTCCAGAACTCTTTTCATTTTGAAAACTGAAACTTTATACCCATTAAACACAATTACCCAATTGTCTCTCTCCCCAGTCCCTGGCAACCACCATTCTTCTACTTTATGTCTCTGTGAATTTGACTACTTCAGGTACCTCATTTAAGTGGAATTTTACAGAATTTTTTTTATGTGACTGGCTTATTTCACTTATCATAATGTCCTCACGCTTTATTCATGCTGTACTATATGTCAGAATTTCCTATCTTTTTATGGCTGGATAATATTCCATTATATGGATATACCACATTTTGCTTATCTATTTATCCTTTGATGGACACTTGGGTTACTTTCACCTTTTAGCTATTGTGAATAATGCTGCTGTGAACATGGGTGTACAAATATCTCTTTAAGACCTTGCTGTAAAATCTTTTGGGTTTAGCCCTGGCTGGTTTGGCTCAGTGGTTAGAGCATCAGCCCACAGACTGAAGAGTCACGGGTTCAATTTTGGTCAAGGGCATGTACATCAGTTGCAGTTCATCCCCAGTCCTGGTTGGGGTCATGTGGGGGGTGGCCAGTCTATGTGTCCCTCTCATGTCAATATTTCTCTTTCTCCCTCTCTCCCACTCTATCTGAAGATAAATAGAAAAATATCCTTGGGTAAGGATTAAAAAATAAATAAATAAATAAAATATTTTGATTTTATACCCAGAAGTGGAATTGCTGGATCATAAGGTAATTTTATTTTTAATTTTTCGAGGAACTTCCATACTACTTTCGACAGTGGCTGCACCTTTTTACTAACAGTGCACAAGGGTTTCAGCTTCTCCACATTTTCTCCAACACTTATTTGTGTGTGTGTGTGTGTGTGTGTGTGTTTTAAATAGTAGTCATCCTAATAGACATGAGGTGGTATCTTGTTGGAGCTTTGATTTGCATTTGTATAATGATTTGTGTGCTTACTGGCCATTTGTATGTCTTCTTTGGAGAAATGTCTATCCAAGTCCTTTGCCCATTTTTGAATGAGGTCTTTTGGTGTTGTTGAGTTTTAGAAGTACTCTATGTATTCTGGATATTAATCTCTTATCAGATAAATGATTTTCAAATATTATATCCCATTCTGTGGGTTGCCTTTTCACTCTGGTGATAGTGTCATTTGATAGACAAATTTTAGAAATTTTAATGAAGTCCAACCTATTTTTTTATAAGTGTCTTATTTTTTATAAGTGTCTTTGGTGTCATATCCACAAATCATTGCCAAATCCAATGTCATGAGCTTTGTCCTGTGTTTTCTCCTAGGAGTTTTATAGCTTTAGGTTTTACATTTAGGTCTTTGATCCATCTTGAATTAATTTTTGTGCATGGTGTTAGCTGGGGTCCAACTTCATTCTTCAGCATGTAAATATCCACTTTTCCGAGCAACATTTGTTCAAAGACTATCTATTCCCTGTTGAACGGTCTTGCCACCCTTGCCAAAAATCATTTCACCATATATGTGAAGTCATCTTATTTTTAACTTTAAAAACTTTATTAAAAGTTTGCTTAAAGTGTTTTTAACAACATTTTAAAACCCCTCTTCTGTTTCTTTTGATGTAAGAATCTCAATCACACACACACACACACACACACTCTCTCTCTCTCTCTCTATATATATATATATGATTTTATTCCTTTCATTTAGTGTAAACTCATTCTTTTTGCATTGTTTCTTTTCTAAAACAAAAATGTTTTGTTGTTAATTTGGGAATTCTCTGGCACTTTTCCATTTCCATGTAAATGTGGTATAGCATCTTCAAATCTCTGCTCCCCTGCCTTCCTCTTTCACTTATAGGAACCCTTGTGATTACATTGAATTTACCCAGATAATCCAAGATAATCGCCCTGTCTCAAGTTCTTTAACTTAAGCATATCTGCAAAGTCCCTTTTGCCATGTCAGGTAACATATTTGCAGGTTCCAGGGATGAGAATGTGAGCAGATTTACAGGGCCATTTTCGTGCTTACTGTGCACGGTAAGCCTAAGGTTCAAAGCTTGAAAATTTTCCTCTAAATTACTGAAATTTTTGTTCTGTTTTCTTTGGGAATGCCTGTCATCCACAGATTTCTGTTTTCCAATCTCTGTCACTATCACATTACTCTCCAACTTTATCTCCTCTATTTTTCTGATGCATTGTGGGGGAGTATCTCTGAAAGAGTATATTTATATCACTAATTTTACTTTCTACATCATCAGTTGTGATTTTTTTTTTTTTTTTATCCTCACCCGAGGACATTTTTCCATTTTTTGTACAGATAGAGTGGGAGGGAGAGAGAGGAAGAGAGAGAGAGGGAAACATCGATGTGAGACACATCGAGTGGCTGCCACCCGCACGACCAACCAGGGCCGGGGACAAACTGCAACTGAGGTACATGCCCTTAGCGGGAACCGAACCCGGGTCTCTCCGGACCGCAGGCAGACGCTCCAACCGCTGAGCCAAACTGGCCAGGGCAGTTGTGATATTTTTTGCTTTCAATGTGCATTTAAAAATTTTATTTTTGGCTTACAAGTCAGTTACTGCCCCACCCCCAGTGATATGAATATACCTATTTTCAACAAATAATTTTGTTTTCATAAAGCTCCAAGGTAAAGAATTCTTCTGAATGTTGTCAAGTATAGATATGTCAAATGAAGCACTCTGCCTGATCTCACAGAAATATTCTTATCCCATAAGTGGGAAAAAAAATGAGGTCCCCTTCAAGAACTCCACCGTAATGATGTTCATTTCTGATTGGGTATACTACAAGTTGCATATTAGTTGGGGGAAGAGTTCTGTAAGTTACTAAAAAGTACAACATTCAGCTGAGTGGGATAAAGATGAACATTAGTGAGGCCATTGATAACTTCCCAGAGTGTAGTCACACTAGATCGCTGGTCGTTGAAGTTATACTGAGTGTTTAAAGGAGAGTGGGGAACACTGGCGGCCAATCAATGTTCTCTTCTATCTTTCTCTCGCTCTCCCTTCCTCTCTCTAGAATCAATAAAGAAAAAAATTTTAAAGAAAGGACTATGTATTTATTGAGGAAGTAGGGTGAGAAGATGGAACTATACATTCCTAGAGAGGTAAGCAGTTGGGGTAATGATTTCCTAGGATGAGGAAGGTCTCTCTTTCTGTTTGGACACAGAAGTATGGATTCACAGGGGAAGAAGACCGATCCTTTATTGGTTATTTGAAGAGAGTATTATTCTCTCTTCCAAATGCTTTCCTTTGTGTGCAGTAAGCAGAACTAAAACCGGGTTTGTGTGGAGCTCCAGCCAGGGGAAGGGTTTGGCTGTTTGGATTCTGCTGAGATGGTCACAGGTCTCTTGGGGCTCGTGGGAACATGTCTTTCCCTGCCTGGTGTGCTCTGTGGGAAGGTGCTAGTGATGCCACGGAGGGAACTCAGTGCAGGGGACTCACGATGGTTATCTTTACAACAGAGGAAATGCCTTTTTTTCCTGATCTGAAAGCCCACTCAAACCCTTCCATAAAAGATGAAGATTGATATATAGGTTATCTATAGCAGTGTGATTTTTTGAGCCCAAACGTTTTAAAAGAGTTTCAATTTTGTAAATTCTTTAAAATGCTTTAGATTTCTGTACACGAGAAACTTCTCTCTTAGGAGCACAGACCCAGGATATGTCAAAATGCAATGCTGTGCTTACCCTCAACTATTAGAATGAGCTGGAGCTGTTCAAGGTCCATGACCTCTGAGTGACCCTGATATGCCAGACTTTTACCGGACCCAAATGAAGACTTTCCTGGCCACTGAACAATGGGGACTTGTTTTAACCAATTGTGTAGATACAAATGCCCTTATTCTGTCCTCTTCTGAGTGGTAATTTTCAACCCTTAAACTGACATATCTACCATGATGTGGTATAGCATCTTCAAATCTCTACTCCCCTGCCTTCCTCTTTCACTTATAGGAACCTTGTGATTACATTGAATTTACCCAGATAATCCAAGATAATCGCCCTGTCTCAAGTTCTTTAACTTAATCATATCTGCAAAGTCCCTTTTCTTCCAATCACTTCAAAACTGCTGACATCCTGTTTCCCTGTCCCCCCAATCCTCTTTTCCAGCAAACTACTTTGGAATGTCTTCACTGGTGTGAGTTCCTTCGCCTGGCACACAAATGTTCTCATATTTTGAAAGCTCTGCTTCATTCTGATAATTTTTATATGGTGACTATTTGATGCTGTTTGAACATCCCCGTGGGACAGTGGTGGCTGAATCCTAAGTTCCTGCTGTGTAGTTTGCATATGATTCCATGGCGTTTGGACTTTAAGGGCACTAAAGGGTACCAAACTCATCTCATACATGCTGCATTTTCAGTTGGTCTAGTTCAGTTGACTTTTTGCTCTCACACCTTATGCCAGCCTTTCCTTGGAGATGACCAAGGGGGATGGCACACTTTGTGATGGACTCTCCCCAGGCAACCGTACCTCAAAAAAGTTTTCACTGGGGGCACAGACCATGCCAAAAAAGCTGCTCCCTCAGGCATGTGTATGTTGCCTCGCCCAGTCAATATCACAAGTGAAACCTGGCTTTCATCATCCTAATTAGGTATGAGCTACATCTTGTGCAAGGCACTGGGATAGTTTTATGTAGCCTTATAGAAATGCTTTTCATATTTCCATCTATCATAGTTGTAGAACCAAGTGGGTCCAGGCTACTAATCAGATTTGCATGAATATATTCGAGTCATCCCTACCACCGTTTTAAGTCAAGTGACCTGAATATGGTCCTAATGTTATTAACTAACGACGGGACTGAGAGGTTCATTCTGCTCACAGCCTTTGAAAGAAACACGTTTCTGCCAATGCTGATTTCAGTTCAGTGAAACTGATTTCAGATGCCTGACCTTCAGATCTTTAAGAGAATAAACATGGATTTTTTTTTTTTTAATCCAGCAAGTTTGTGGTTATTTGTTACAGCACTAATACATAGGAAACTAATACATCCACTCTGCCATGTGTATCTGATTTTCAAAAGCCTTTGCTTAACATTATATTTAAACAACAGTTAACTCTTACTAAGTCACCAGCATGTATATGGCACTAAAAACCATCTTTAGTTTGAGAAGAGATATTATAGTATAATAATATATTTTACTACTACATGCTAAAAAACAACAACAAAAAAACGAAGTATACCTCTTTACCTTGGCAATGTTAATTTTAGAGCAAACTACCTGGCTGACATTTCAAAAAAAAATGTCAACATTCAAGGTGTTGTGATGAACATTTCTGTCTTAGTGAAATTAACACTGTCTGCCTCAGGATTAAGTTTAATAAACAGCAAAGTGTTTGCAGACATTTGCAACAGTTTAAAAGAGAAACAGAGGTCCTATTCATGTGGTCCCAGCAATAAGAACAAAAAGGCATTGGCATGAACCGTTTATAAACTGTCGAGTACAGTTATTCTGAAAGTAGAGTTCACTTGAAGTCTTCACAAAAAAAGTCCTGCTATTCCTTCCCAAGTGCTTTAAGTGGAACGTGGGCTGGAATTACTTGGTGTCAATGTGCAGCAGCTGCTCTTTGCCATTTATTACCAGGGACTTTAACTCTCCGTCTTCCTCCACTTCCACCCTTTCTTGGCCATTCTCAACGACCCTCTTGGTGGTGATTTTTTTGCCATTAATGATTTCGGTGGAAGTCGACACGGATTTGAAGTTACCCATCCCACAGCTACCGCAAGACGAGGAGAAGGAAGAAAGGCCCCCATTCCCCAGAGAGGCAAAGGAATTATATCCTGTATCAAAAGAAGAAAACCCACCAAATGCTGGGAATTCACTGAAGGTGGAGAAAAGGGACGAGGAACCTCTGCTTCTGCTTCCCCGGGAGCTCCTCCGACTCCCGAAAATGCTCTCCAGCGGGTCTCTGAACAAGTCAAATGAAAATGGGTCCCGGCCACCAAAAAACTCCCTGAAGACCTCGGCCGGGTCGCGGAAGGTGAAGACGTATTCGAAGGGGTCCTCGCAGGGCCCGCCGCCGACGTCGCGGCCCTCCACGCCCGCCTCGCCATGTCGGTCGTAGACGTCCCTCTTCTTGGCGTCCGATAGCACCTCGTAAGCCTGGGCCACTTGTTTGAACCTCCTCTCCGCCTCCTCCTTGTTCTCAGGGTTCTTGTCGGGGTGCCACCGGAGTGCCAGCTTGCGGTAGGCCTTCTTGATGGCGTCGGAAGAGGCCTGGCGGGGCACGCCCAGCACCTCGTAGTAGTCCACCATGCTGGCTGGTGGGCACGGCCCACGGGCCACCGGCCACGGAATCAGGCAGCCGCGTGGCGCGCAGGCCAAGTGCCCAACGAGGCCAGGCCACCCAGGAGCGACGCCACTTTGTGACGTACCCGCATCTCATTGGTCGAGGCCGCATCCAGAAGGCAGTGCTAAGCGGCACGCCCCACGCCCTAGAGGCGCTCTGTGACGTTTCCTGCAGAGCGGAGGCCCCGCCCACCAGGGCACCGCCCACCAAAGGCCCCGCCCACCCCCGATTCCACCCACCCGGGCACCAGGTGCTGTGATCTCCAAATTGGGTACAAAAGAAAGGAATTTAACCCGTGGAGAATAATTTTCTTAAAGTTGCCTTTACTACAGGCCTCCCATTGGCCCGAGTACAGGTGGAGTGAATTTAGTGTGACCCTCGACTGCAGGACAGTTAGATATTTTGCCTAGGACATCAATTCTACAACTTTTTTGCCTCAGGACCCGTTGGCTTTTGTTTATGTGGGTTATACCTGTGGATACTTACTCCATTAGAAATTAAAACAATCAGAAAAGTTCATTAATCAACTCAACAAGCTATTACATGATCTCATAAATCATATTTTTATGGGAAAATTACTCTTTCAAAACAAAGATTTAGTGAAGAATGGCATCATTTTACATTTTTTTTGCATCTCTCTGGCTTAGTTGAAAAGAGCTCGATTCTTATAACTTCTGCATTCAGCCTGTTGCTACATCGCATGTTCTGAAGTCACTCGGAAACTAACCTGTACACTCAAAAGAGAGTAAGAGTGAAAAAGTCCAATATCATGATTATGGAAATAGTTTTGACTTTGCAAAATTCTCCTGAAAAATTCTTGGGGATCTCCAGAGTGCCCTGGTGCATGGGAATACCAAAATGATTGAAATTTTCTGGCTGCATTTCTAGTGATGTGGCTAAACTTGGGAGGCATTGATTATCTCCACTGAAACTGCAATAGCACAACCATGATTTTATTTTTGGCATTTCTCGACATCTGATTTCTTTCCACTTTCTCATTCTCTTTCTGACCTTATATCCTTTGCTTTGATAAAGGATGAAGCAACACCAATAAAGGTCACTTAGTTCTAAGAGGAAAATGATTAACCAATGAACTTTCTAATATTTCATCATAAAGGGTAATAGATCCAAAAGGGCGCGTGTGCTGTATCACCAGAACACACTGCCAACTTTATATCACCTTGAGAGCCTGAATATAAAGCCTGGACCTGGCACTTGGTAAGCACGCGAAATAGTAAGAAGCTGATTGGGCGTCGAGTCCAGTGTGAACAAAGCAGTGTGGGAAGTTACAAAGCGTATTTGTGGAAGAGCAAGTGGTCCAGGATGGCTGGGGGAAAGAGGAAGAGGTCAAGTGGGGGGGCTTGAGAGGAGAAATGAGCTTGGACGGGGGGGCTGGGCCCATTCCCAGTTCTGAGGGCAAAGCTGAGGAGTCTGAATTATATTCTGGGCCCTCAGAAGCTGCTGACCAAGGTTTCAGAGGTGGTGGTGGGATGGGGCCATGCAGGGACAGCTGATGCCAGGGATCAGAAGGTGCAGACAGTGGTTGGGTATATAAGGGGGTTAAGCCCTGAAACAGGACCACGGCAGCTGCGTCTGAGAGACAGTGATAGAATCATCTGGATTCAGTACTTCCTTGTTTGGATGTGAGACCTAGAGCAAAGGGAGAAGCCAAGTCACATCTATACAGAAACATTAACTGAGCACTGAAGGTCTGCAGACCATGGACTGGCACCGGAGTGAGAGAGCGATTCCAAAGCTGACCCCTTGAAAGCCTGCCTGTAAGGAATACAGACGGATAAGCAGGTAGGGACACGCAAGTAGCAGGGACAGATATGCAAATTGCTAAAGAATACAAGGCAGAATAAAGCAAAACGCTACAGAAACTCAAGAAGACCACTTTGCTTCTTCTGAAGGTTCTCATAGACGACTCAGGGCAATGGACTTGTTTATGCAGACCTTTAGGGGCTTCAACAAGCAGCTCTGATCTGATCCCATCAAAGGAGTGAGGAGTGTGTGAAACGGTGGGTTTCTTAACTACTGGCTTTAGCTTAAAAAGAAATCATCTTCCAGTGGGTTCCAGCAACTCTCTCACCGACAATCCCTTCTGCAGTAGTCCCCCCAAGCAAGACCACATCTCTGCCCTGCTCTGTGTTTTCTTGGCCACCCACGCTCCCCAACCAGAGCACATCTTACCGGGCCCTGTAATAGTCTGGTGGTCTATCCACTGGAGCCCTCCTCATAGGCACAAACTAATTCTAACTTGGTTTTCTGGTGCCAGTTTCCAGCATAGTAGGGCTAACGCTTCACATGACTATTTGGTGAATGGGAGCATTGGCGATGGATATTGTGTGTCAGGTCTGCTCAGGTTCTGGGATAGACACTTTATGGGATTGCTTAGTAGTGGTTCTTGGTCCTAATCTTTGAGAGTGAATGTGGATTGCCTGCTATTCATATTAGTAAACAACACACCCTAGCCATGGGCAGAGTTGAGCCCCAAACTATCTAGGTGCACAGGGGCCCCCAGAACTTCTGGGGTGCTGTGTGATAAGGGAAGTCGTAAAATCATCATAGTGGTGCCTGTGTTTATAGCCCTTTGGCTCTGTGTAATCTATAGATGACCTGTCATGATACTGAGACTTCATGCTTGAAACTGGAGTACGAATTGCAGAATTGCAGATAAGGGCACACCAACAAGCCAAAGCATTGCTCCCTCTTTTCTCCTCACCCAGCATCTTTGTCCCGGAGAACGGAGAGGGTGTGGGGGTGTGGAGGAGCTTCAGAGTGCATGTGCAATAGGGCGCATACAAGACTGGAGGTTTGTGGAGGAAAGATGGTGGTACAAGGAAAAGGGGTTCTAAGTACCTACCCTAAATACCAGAATGAGAAGGGCCCTGCGAATGTGCCCCATGAGGCACCAAGGCTTTCGAGTTAGCAGCTTCTCCATGACCCTCTAAGATCCCCCAAGGAGGGGTGGCCACTGTTGTTCCTGGTCAGAATACTGGGATCTGTGCTGCCATCCTTGGAGTGTACAGAACAGCAGTGGACCCCGAAACAGCCGGCACTCCGATTTGCCCTTTCTTCAGAAGGGGCATTTCTATTAGGCAACTTCCATATTTGTTCCCTGACCTTTCACCTGATCTTTTGGGGCACCAGGTAGTACTGGGTATTGCTGTGTGAGCACATTCTGCTTGGTCGCGAAGTCCCGCCCTTTGCCTTCTCTCCACTTATTTCGATGGGGTAATGACTGTGAGGCTCACAGCTTTACTTCTGACTTCTACTGGGTTGTAGATGTCAGTCATGGCCTTGCGTATATTTATTTGGGCCCTGCTGGAGGTTAGTGGGAGTTGTGGTCAAGAGTAGGGTCTCTAGGCCCTGACAGCCGGGGTCTCCACGCTGCCCCCTGGTAAATGCAGGACTCTGGCAGATCATTTTGTCTCAAAAGTGCCTTTACAGGACAACTCTCGGGGATTACATAAGATGTATTGTAAAGTGCTTGACAGCGTACTTGGCACATGGTCCGTGCTCAGTAAATACATAGTATTTTTGTTCACCTCTCCCTTTTGCTTCAACAAAGTCATCAGAATTTCCCAGCGTGTCTTCCTTTCCCTGGTCTCTGAGCCTGTGTGACCAGTGTAATTTGAATTTTATTTCGTTCTCGATTTTAGTCTTCTATATACAGAGTTGTCCTCACTGCCTTTCTGAATACATTCAGATCTGTCCTGCAGAAGGCCTTCTGTGCCCACACACTCAGGTGGGCTCCCCTTTCCTGCCATTCTTTACCCCGTCAGCATTTGGGCCCTTTTCACAGTCTCTACTGTAACTGTTTAGCTGTCTAAATCAACTGTTCTCAACCTGTGGGTCGCGACCCCTTTGGGGGTCGAACGACCCTTTCCCAGCGGTCACGTAAGACCATCGGAAAACACATATTTCCGATGGTCTGAGGAACCGAGACACCGCTCCTCTATCCGTCTCCAGGTGGGTCCGCCCACATGCAGATGCGCCCGCAGACAACACGAGGAGCTGTATTGAAGGGTCGCGGCCTTAGGAAGGTTGAGAACCACTGGTGTAAATGGCCAGCCTGTCTCTCTCGATGGAGGATGAGTTCTTGGCAGGAACGAGGCCCATCTGTGGCGTTCCCTGCCGCAGGTGTGCTGCAGTTAATAAATACTTGTTGGATGAATGAATCGGAGATGACTGAACTGTGGACAAGGACATTCTCAAAGGTTTCCATGGGCCAAAGGCGCGCTTGCAATATCATATTCTTTTCTTTCTAAGAGGCGTAGTCAGCTCTCTCTTTCATTTCTGGAGAGGAGATCTCATCACCGCAGAGCATTTGCCCTCTGGGTAGCCCTCTCGCGGGCCAGGGAAATGCTCATTTAACCTGTTAACCGAGCGGGATGTGTAAATACGTCAAACGTTGCGTACAGTAAGAAGGGAATTCCCTGCTTATTCCCTGGTTAACAGGTTAATGGAGGAAAGGGTGCTCGAGGTGCTTCGCCTTCTCTGTTCACTCTGGGATGTGATCTGAGCGGTGGGTAAAGAGTTCCAGCCTGTTAAGAAACTGTTCTATTTCTCAAAGTAAACGTTCTGCTGCCTGTCACTGACGGACAGCTCTGGTCACGTGACACAATCAAACATTAACTGGGTATATAGATTGGTTCCCAGATAACGTGCGTGGGACAGCACAGACCTCTGGCAGACAGACGTCTTGGTAGCACAGGCAAGGGCACCATGGCGGCAGGGTCCCAGGGTCCACGTCCCCTTGTCCTGGGCCTGCTGCTGTGTGTGCTCGGCCCGGCCGTGTCCCAGGGCGGGAAGCTGTTGGTAATCCCCGTCGATGGCAGCCACTGGCTGAGCTTGGGCGGGGTCATCCAGCAGCTGCGGCAGAGGGGACATGACATCGTGGTCGTAGCACCGGAAGTCTCCATGCACATCAGAGGAGGAGAGTTCTACACCTTGAAGACCTACCCCGTGCCCTTCCGAAGGGAGGACTTGGAAGCAACTTTTACCAGCCTAGGGCGTCATGTATTTGCGAACCAGTCTTTCTTGCAGCGTGTGATCAAAACGTACAAGAAAGTCAAAGAGGACTCGGCTCTGCTCTTGTCGTCCTGCTCCCATCTACTGCACAACAAGGAGCTGATGGCCTCCCTGGCCAGGGGCGGCTTCGATGCTGTGCTGACCGACCCTTTCCTTCCTTGCGGCCCCATCGTGGCCCAGTATCTGGCCCTGCCTGTTGTGTTCATCTTGAGTGCACTGCCTTGCGGTCTGGACTACCAGGGTACCCAGTGTCCCAACCCACCATCCTATGTGCCCAGGATTCTGTCATCTAACCCCGATCGCATGAGCTTCCTGCAGCGGGTGAAGAACATGCTCATTGCCTTGTCAGAGAACTTTCTGTGCAGTGTGGTTTATTCTCCGTACGGGCCACTGGCCTCGGAAGTCCTGCAGAAAGACGTGACTGTCCAGGACCTCATGAGCTCCGCCTCCATCTGGCTTTTCAGAACTGACTTTGTGAAGAATTACCCCAGGCCCATCATGCCCAATATGGTTTTTATCGGTGGGATCAACTGTGCTGGCAAAAAACCACTGTCCCAGGTGTGTACTTCGAATGGGAACTTCACAAGTAAGTGCTCGGGCAGACGAACTGGCCACCGATGTGTCCTGAATGAGCACACTTAGTTTCAACTGCCCTCTTGTGTTAACTTCTATCTTGCAAGTTTCCTGGGTTTAGTTGTCATTTATATCTGTCTTCGGAATCATCTTCTCAGTTATTTCTTTGGGTCTGAGGCTTTAGGAAAGTGTACTTGGGGCATCTTATTCTGTGGGCTCCAGTGTTTAGTCACCAATGAGAGGCAGAAAGGGTCAAATGCCATATGCGCAGAGCAGTGGGTTCGGGGTTCCGCGCAGAGAACACGAGTTTGGGAGGCACGCAGCCTGTGATGGGGCAGGCACGAGAGCTTCAGGATGGCTGAAGTAAGTTCTTGGCATCTTTAGATCCCAGCAGGGAAAGTGGACTTTATGTTCCTCTTAAACCACCAGTTTCTAGCTCTTCCAGCTTCCTAAGCTGGATCCTACAGGCCCATCTTCTCTAATAAGGAAATAACCAGACAGCCAGCTTCTGGTGTTGGGCAGAAAGGTCGAGTCTCATACTGTGCCATGCTCATGTGTTAGTTTTTACTCCACAGCAGTGATTTTCAACCGGTATGCTGCAGCACACGGAGAAGGTTTACAGCACGCGATTACTAAGGAGAAGAGAGGCAATGACCACTCTCCCTTTAGTAATTTGTTTATGTGTGCCATGAGATTTAAAACAAAAGGCGGGGGGGGGGGGGGGGGGGGCTGACATCGCTGCTCTACAGAATTGAAGGTAAAAGCAAGAAAGTAGCATTCACATCCCTTCCCGGAGGTGATTGAGAAGAGCAGGAGAGGCTCCCCCAGAGGTGGGCTGGACAGGATTCTCTAGGAGGTGACATCTCAGTGGGCATTTATTCCCTCATTCAAGTAGTGGTTGAGGGTCTGCTGGTAGCCCAGGTATTGGTTGAGGGTCTGCTGGTAGCCCAGGCACTTGCCATGGGCTGGGTCACTCAGGGAGAACCCTGAATCTTATTTCCAATGTGCCTTCAACGTGATTCTTATTTTAAATGATCATGTAATTGTCATTTCGAGGAGACATCTTGGGTGGTAGAAAAAACACCGAGTGAGAAATCATGGCAGGGTGGGTGCCTCCACTGCACTGGGGTAGACCAGATCCCCTTCCCTATGGCGTGGAGAGAGATCCGATGACCCATGGAAGATCTCCTGGCAGTAAGATTCTGATACCCCGTGGCCTGTTGGACAAGTTTGTGTCATGTGGGGTGGTCTAGTTAAGAAAGAAGTACAGGTGCTTTTGATTTTCTGAAAGCCAAAAGAGAAACCCTAACACTATAGAAAACCACTAATGATTCTCTTTCCGACAGAGGAAAAGCAAGCGATGAAATGTTAGCAGAGCCCAGGGCCCATCTCAGGTCAAAGGAAAGCAAGCTACTCAGCGTGCCCCAGGTAGAGAGGGACGAAGGGAAATCTTCTTGGTGTCATTATGAAGGGTCCAGGAGGAAACAGTTGTGTTTCACATTCACTTTGAAACTTAAAAGTCTTCACTTCGGAGATGTGCACACAGGATGGAAACTGCATTTGAACTAGAAGGGCTTGTCGATGAGCTTTTATGGACATTCCTGGTTACACTGGCCTTCTCTCGATTCCTGAGACATTTCAAAAAGCGGTCCCAGTTCAGGACCATTGAGCATGCTGTTCCCTCTTTCTGGGGTGCTGTTCCCTGAATTCGTCTGCGGCCATCTTCACATTTTTTTTTTATCCTCATCCGAGGACATTTTTCCATTTTTTGTTCAGATAGAGTGGAAGGGAGAGAGAGGAAGAGAGAGAGAGAGAGAGAGAGAGAGAGAGAGAGAGAGAGAAACATCAATGTGAAAGAGTAACATCGAGTGGCTGCCACCCACACGACCAACCAGGGCTGGGGGACAAACTGCAACTGAGGCACGCGCCCTTAGCGGGAACCAAACCCAGGTCTCTCTGGACCGCAGGCCGACACTCTAACCGCTGAGCCAAACCGGCCAGGGCCATCTTCACATTTTTTAGATCAGCTTCAACGTCACTTCTCCAGGGAGTCCTTCTCTCTAAGACAGCATCCTATTTCCTTTATGCCACGTCAAACACTGTGATTATACCATTTAGATAATTGTTTATTGACTGTCTCCTCCACATGTGGGGGCAGGGACCACTTGTGCGAGGAGACTGAATCCTTAACACCTGGCGATGGGTGTGCACACGGCTGGTGTCCCACAGTAGTAGCATCTAAGGCATGTAATAGGCACTCATCCAATATTTGTTAAATGGCTGAATGACAACACCAAAGGGGTACAACTGAGGACTAGCCACCGGCCAGGCAGCGAGTGATCTCCAGCAGTTCTTTATATTCCTACAGCTACACGCAAACCTATGCACACGTGTAGAATCTACGAGCACAGCATTCTCAGTTATCATTATGCCATGGATATCGCTCTCGTTATAAATATTATACCTATGTTTTCAACTGCTACCTAGTATATCATGGCATTTATATGCCGCAGGTTCATATTCGCCCTAGATCCCTATGGAGGAACACGGACATCTGTATTCCAGAGTTTTTTGTTGTCGTTACTGTTCTCATGGTTACTTTAAACATCACCTGAACAAAGATATTTTATCGCCTTCATATTTGATCCGTTCCATTCTTATTTGTTTTTTTGTAAGTGTTTTATGCTTTCTTCTTGGTCACTACTGTGGAAGTGATATTTTTTCTATTTCTGCCTCTCTCTGGTTATCTACACATTATTCAGCCGTCTCACCAAAATATTGATTTTCACTATTTTTTTTTTTTAAAACTAGCATGAGGTCATTTGCCAAAAAAGAAATTTGAATTTTACTCTTCTGAATTCTATGTCAACGATCAGTCTTATTGAGTTCACTAGAATCTCTTAAAATAATTGAATACATTTGGCAAGAGCAAGGATTCCTGTTTTGCTCCTGGTTTTAATGAACATTGTTTTTCATTTCATCATTTTGCATTATGTTTGCCCTTTTTTTTGGGTGGGGGGAGTAGTCTTATCTAAATGATTTCTGTTTTTTCTTTAGGATGATTAATGGAAGAGGGCGCTGAAATGTATTAACTGCATTTCTTTATATCATATTTTTATTATTATTGATCAATATAGTTTTCCCCTTGTACATTTGTCTAAGTTGTTGGCTGTTGGCTGGTGTCCTATTCAGTGCAAGTGCACTCGTGTGAAAACGTCCTTGTAAACTGTGCCTGACAGTAGCCCTCTTTGAACTCTCTAATTTAAAATTCCACTTTTAAATATTTATATCACCTTTCCTGCATTATTTTTGTTTACATTTCCTTAGTACCTCTTTAGTTCCCCTTTGCCACCAAGCTTCCTCCTCTCCCTCCTCCTCCTCCTCCTCTCCCTCCTCCTCCTCCTCCTCTCCCTCCTCCTCCTCCTCTCCCTCCTCCTCCTCCTCTCCATCCTCCTCCTCTCCATCCTCCTCTCCCTCCTCCTCCTCCTCTCCATCCTCCTCCTCTCCATCCTCCTCTCCCTCCTCCTCCTCTCCATCCTCCTCCTCTCCATCCTCCTCTCCCTCCTCCTCCGCCTCCTCTCCCTCCTCCTCCTCCCTCCCTCCCCCTCCTCCTCCTCCTCCTCCTCCTCTCCTCCTCCCCTCCTCCCTCCTCCTCCCCTCCTCCTCCCTCCTCCTCCCTCCTCCCCTCCTCCCCCTCCTCTCCCTCCTCCCCTCCTCCCATCCTCCTCCTCACTCCCTCCGCCCCCTCCTCTCCCTCCTCCTCCTGCTCCTCCTCCTCTCCCTCCTCCTCCTCCTCTCCCTCCTCCTCTCCCTCCTCTCCCTCCTCCTCTCCTCCTCTCCCTCCTCCTCTCCTCCTCCTCCTCCTCTCCCTCCTCCTCCTCCTATCCTCTACCTCCTCCTCTCCTCCTCTCCTCCTCCTCTCCTCCTCCTCCTCCTCCCTCCTCCTCCTCCTCCTCTCCCTCCTCCTCTCCTCCTCTCCCTCCTCTCCCTCCTCTCCCTCCTCCTCCTCCCTCCTCCTCTCCCTCCTCCTCCCTCCTCCTCCTCCCGCCTCCTCCTCCTCCCTCCTCCCCCTCCTCTCCCTCCTCCTCCTCCTCCTCCCTCCTCTCCCTCCTCCTCTCCCTCCTCCTCCCTCTCTCCTCCTCCTCTCCCTCCTCCTCCTCCTCCTCCTCTCCCTCCTCCTCCTCGTCCTCTCCCTCCTCCTCTCCTCTCCCCCTCCTCCTCCTCCTCCTCTCCCTCACTCCTCTCCTCTCCCTCCTCCTCCTCCTCCTCTCCCTCCTCCTCCTCCTCCTCCTCGTCCTCTCCCTCCTCCTCTCCTCCTGCTTCTCCTCCTCTCCCTCCTCCTCTCCTCCTCCTCCTCCTCTCCCTCCTCCTCTCCTCCTCCTCGTCCTCTCCCTCCTCCTCTCCTCCTGCTCCTCCTCCTCTCCTCCTGCTCCTCCTCCTCTCCCTCCTCCTCTCATCCTCCTCCTCCTCCTCTCCCTCCTCCTCTCCTCTCCTCCTTTCCCTCCTCTCCCTCCTCCTCTCCCTCCTCCTCTCCTCCTCCTCCTCCTCCTCTCCCTCCTCCTCTCCTCTCCCTCCTCCTCCTCTCCTCCCTCCCTCCTCCTCCTCCTCCTCCTCTCCTCCTCCTCTCCCTCCTCCGCCTTCCTCCCTCCCTCCCCTCCTCCTCCTCTCCCTCTCCCCTCTCCTCTCCTCCTCCCTCCTCCTCCTCTCCTCCTCCTCTCCCTCCTCCTCCTCCTCCTCCTTCTCCTCCTCCCTCCTCCTCTCGCTCCTCCTCTCCTCCTCCCTCCTCCTCCCTCCCTCTCCTCTTCCCTCCTCTCTCCTCCTCTCCTCCTCCTCCTCCTCCTGCTCCCTCCTCCTCCCTCCTCCTCTCCCTCCTCCTCCTCCTCTCCTCGTCCTCTTCCCTCCTCCTCGCCTCTTCCCTCCTCCTCCTCCTCCTCGCGCCTCTCCTCCCCCTCGTCTCCTCCTCCTCTCCCTCCTCCTCTCCTCTC